TCTTCTAGAAAGGCGGCTTAGGATAATTATTTCAGCTTTATTGAGGGCAGATTAGTTGAAGTCTGGATGCTGCGTTTCAATACTCGTTGTACATGCCTTTACAATGTCGGTATTGTTTGCTACTGTGTGTGAACCTATTCAAAATATACACTTTTTAACACCAAGCAAAGTCCTGTCTAAATATACACAGTAAGTCTGGAAAGATGTCCATGACCCGTACAAATCTCTGTAAATCACACTTCCATAGCTACAGAAACCAAACAAAAGAGTTACCAGCTCAAGATGCTGATTAAATCTTCTTAAAAGCAACATACCTAATAATAAATATAGTTGCGCGGCAGCGGGGGCAGGCGGCCCGGCTCGCTCTTACCGAGGGATGGACCCGAACCGCCACACGGAATTTCTTTGCTTCTAATTAAAAAAAAAAAAAAAAAAAAAAAAAAGAGAGAGAGAGAGACGGAGAGAGGGAGGATAAATAGAGGTTGCAAAGCGCTTTCTCTAGCCTCCTCCCCGCACACTGAATCCCGGGAAGTTCGTGGCAGGAATTGCGGGGAAAAGGAGAGGTGCGGTGTAAAACCCCATCGGGGCGGGGGTGAGGACCTGCCGCAGGGCCGGGCTGCGGAGGAAGGAAGGGGCGAGCGGAGGTGGCGGGTGGAGGGGGGAGAAGGGAAAGAAAACAAAGTGGAGAGCGAGGGGAGAGAAAGGAGAGGGAAAGGGAAGGCTAGGGAGCGAGGGGAGGGCGAGGGAGGCGGCCTTGGGACGGGGGGCGGCGGTGAGCGGCGGACCGGGGACCGGGAGCGGGGAGAGGAGCCGATCTCCGCGGTGCGTCCCTGTGCGGAGGGGACGCGGAGGGGAGAGGAGAGGCTGAGGGGGAAGCGGGGCTGAGCCCGGGCTGCGCTGTGTGCGCCGCTTCGGGGAGGGTCAGCGGCATGAGGATGGGTCTAATGATCTCATCTTTCTTTTCTTCCCCGGCACTATTAGTGCTCAGATAGGCAGAATGAAGTGAAACTACGTGCAAATCATGTGTAAATTGTCTCAGTTAGGAGCCCTTTATCCGAACGCGTATCCCAGCCTGGCCCATTTACTTTCCCCCCGTATCTCCTTTAGCTTTAACGAGGCTCGTTAAGATCACAATAATATTCCACCCTCTAATTGCTCATCCCATTCAACAAATATGTGCACACCGCTTTTCGCATTATTTGATCCCTTATTTAGGAGGGGTGTGGAGAAGGAGGAGGGGGAGGGGGGAGCCAGGGAGAAGGGGAAGTGCTGAGATGAGGAGTTGCGAAGATTTAAAAAAAAAAAAAAGAAAAAAAAAAGAAACCCCACCACGCTTTTCCAGCAGCCGCCCCGCTTCCCTCCCCCCCGCGCGTTCGGGCGAAGTGGTAAAAACCTCTCTTACGTACTCCGTAATGATTGGCAGGGCTGACAGTGATTGGCAGCGGCTGCCATGGCAACCCCACAACGACACGCAGAAGACCAATAGAAAAGCGAAACAAAATGTTTCGGCACTGCACTCACTGTGGATTTAGGGGAGATATTATGAGGCTGTTGTCATTAGGGCGACCGCTGTCGAATCACTGAATCCCGACTCGGCGGCGGCGCGGGGCCAGGCGCGTGTGAGCGCGTGAGTGTGTGCGTGAGTGTGTGCGCGTGTGTGTGCGTGCGTGTGCCCCGCGCCTCTATGTGGCTGCGTGTGCGTGTGCGGGTGTGGATGCGTGCGCGGTGCGGGTGCCCTTTCCTCCCTTCTTCCTCCCTTTCTTTCTTTTCTCCGTGATCGCTCTCCCCCTCTCCCCGGTCATCCCATGGTGTTCAGGTCCCCGCTAGAGCTCTATCCCACCCATTTCTTCCTGCCCAACTTCGCCGCCGACCCGCACCACCGCTCCCTCCTTCTCGCCAGCGGCGGCAGCGGCAGCGGCTCGGGCTGCAGCCCCGGGGCTGGCGGCGGCGGCGGCGGCAGCTCCCGGGCGCCCCACGAAGAGTTGTCAATGTTTCAGCTGCCCACGCTCAACTTCTCCCCGGAGCAAGTGGCCAGCGTCTGCGAGACGCTGGAGGAGACCGGAGACATAGAGAGGCTGGGGAGGTTCCTCTGGTCGCTGCCGGTGGCGCCGGGGGCATGCGAGGCCATCAACAAGCACGAGTCCATCCTGCGCGCCCGGGCGGTGGTGGCCTTCCACACGGGCAACTTCCGCGACCTCTACCACATCCTGGAGAACCACAAATTCACCAAGGAGTCGCACGGCAAGCTGCAGGCCATGTGGCTCGAAGCGCACTACCAGGAGGCCGAGAAGCTGCGGGGCCGCCCGCTGGGGCCGGTTGATAAATACAGGGTGAGGAAGAAGTTTCCGCTGCCCAGGACCATTTGGGATGGCGAGCAGAAGACGCACTGCTTCAAGGAGAGGACTCGCAGCCTCCTGAGGGAGTGGTACCTGCAGGACCCTTACCCCAATCCGAGCAAGAAAAGGGAACTGGCTCAGGCCACGGGGCTCACCCCCACGCAAGTAGGCAACTGGTTCAAAAACCGAAGGCAAAGAGACAGAGCGGCGGCGGCTAAAAACAGGTCAGTGGGGCTCGGGCCCTCTCGGGCAGCGCCGCGCCTCCTCCTCCTCCTCCTTCTCCTCCTCCTCCCCTTCCTCCGGGTACCCCGCGCCTCTCTGCCCCGGCGTTCGCGGGGATGAGCTGCGCAAAGTTGCGCACCGCGCCCCGAGCCGCGCTCCGGGCTCCCGTGGGCTCCTGGGGCGCGGGGCTCCCCGCGGGCGTGGGCAGCTTCGCGCGGCGAAGCGGGGGCAGCTCCGGCTCCGCGGCCGCAGATGAGCGCCGCCAGAGGCGCCGGGGCTCGGATGGCTTTGGGTTTCCCTCCGCTGTGCGGTTGCGGCGCGGCCCCGCCGCGGAAGGGCTGAGAGCTGCGGGCTTCGGCCGTGCGGCTCTGCAGCGCTCGGTCGCGATCCACGGCGCGCACCGCGGGAACCGTGCGCACTCGAAACACGAAACCGTTTGTCTCCGGGAGAAACAGGGAAGAAAGCCTTTGGGAGACGAGGAAAGGTCCCTCTTCCCGTTTCCCAGCTCCCAACACATGGCGAGCCGGCCGTGCGTTCGCTGTGCATTGCGTTGGCATTTGTTTGCGTGTCTCTCGGTGTCTTTTTATGATTATTTCTGCTTTGCGAGGCTCCCTGCTATTTATTTCTCGTCACCCTCCGGTAAAGTTATTTTGCAAATGAAAACGGCCCCTTCAGCCCGCTTGCCACGCCGCTTTTATTTTAATTGAAGTTTGCTTGCCGCTGGTAGCGCGTAAACAAAACTTCTTGTTCTTTTAAATGCTGTCTCTGAAATTCCTCCTCATTATAGCAGTGGTGCTATTGATTCAGGATTCTGTAGGAGAAGTGCAACCCTAAAGTGCCTCGCCAGTTAATTTCCATTAAATGGGAAACAGATCAGCTCAGGGCTGTAAATAAACAGGAGTTGCCCACGGATGCTTTTGTTGACTCAACGCTGTTGACAGCAGATGAATGCACCAGGAATTGTAAATGGGGGAAAAATCAAAGACGCTGAGATTAGACAACGTAAAATAATGAGAAGTGCCGAATAAGGCTGCGCGGTGCTGCTGTGTGCGGGCAGCTCCATGGGCAATGCCATGCGTGGAGCGGAGGGGCGAAGGGTAAGATCTGCTCCCGCGGGCAGCGCCGGGGCTGGGGCTGCGGCCGGCGGCTCCGTGCGGGAAGCGGAGCCCTTCTCCTACCCCCAGTAGCGGCTATCTTGGGCTTCGGAAAGAGCGAGTGGGCAGGGAGCAATGTCCGCAACATGATAGTGTATGTGAAAATTATTTATTACCTCTTAAAAGGAAAGATCGAAAGAAAGATTAAGACAGAAAGAAAGACATGTTCGAAAGCAATGATCTCTAAGTGCTAACGCTGAAAGCTCCAGTATTTTAAAGGTGAATTTGGCTTTCAGACGGAAAAGGGGTTTCAATCCCGTGCGGAGAGAAGCGCCGCTCTCCGCACTCGCGCTGTTTTATTGCATTCACAGCGCTGTGCTCCCGGGACGGGACCCCCGTCCCCGGCCGTTCCCTGTCCGCAGCCCTGCGCTCGGTGACCGGAATCCGCCCAAAGCGGCGGCGAGGCCGGCACCGAACCCGGGTGAAGATGGGTTCGTGCCCTCCTGCAGCGGCTCCCGCTCGCTGTCCCCTTCCCCGTGGAGCAGCGGGAGCAGCTCCGGAGGCCGTGCAGGGTCGCTGCGCGTCACTCCCCTCGCCGTCCCCTGTAGGAGAGCGGCCCTTCGATCTACGGTATTCTGGCTGTGGGGCCGGGTCGGGCTCCGGGGGCCGGGAGCTGCCGGGCCGGGCCGGGCCGAGCCCCGAGAGAGCGGCCGGGTCCGGCGCCGCCGCCCCCCCCAGCGCGGGCGGTGTCTGAGAGGGCCGCGGTGTTGTTTTGTCTCCCGGCGCGCTGCAGGCTCCAGCACCAGGCGATAGGACAGAGCGGCATGCGGTCGCTGGCGGAGCCCGGCTGCCCGACGCACAGCTCGGCCGAGTCCCCGTCCACGGCGGCCAGCCCGACCACCAGCGTCTCCAGTTTGACAGAAAGAGCCGAGACGGGCACCTCCATCCTCTCGGTAACCTCCAGCGACTCGGAATGTGATGTATGATATCGGAAAACAAACAAACAAACAAACAAATCACAACAAAAAGAAGAAAAAAAAAAAGAAAAAAAAAAAAAAAGAAACCCAACAGCAACAACAAAAATCCAAACCCATCCAAGCGAGCATCCTCTCCCCGACCAGAGCAAAACAATCCGAGGCAACCTAGGAGCGGGACACACACACGCACTCACGCACACACACAACGCGGAGGGAAGCCGAGGCCCGGCCCGACCCAGGAGCAGAGCACGCAGACAGGGAGCAGAGGAGCCACCACAGCACCGCCTGCCACCGCCACCACCAAGAGATGGAGCTCAAACTTCAGCAGACACAAACGCTGGTGCTGCAAGCAGAGGGGGTGGGGGGGAGGT